TTCTTTGAGGGGGAATACTGTGCCAGGTGCTAACAACACATCTTGAGAACAGTTAGTTGGAAGCCTGGGTTGACTTCAGGATATAAGGGGTCGCAAGTTCCAGGAATTTGGAAAATGGCAGGAGATTGCAGTCAAAGGGAATTCTGAACCAAGAGCTTTTCTCTGCCAAAGCAAAAATGTGAAGGAACAGTGGTAGTACTGACTGAATATAACATCTCCACAGCTTGGGGTTCTCACCACCCTCTGGCAATTAGAGATGAAAATGTCAGATAGAAAAGTCCCCAGGCCCCACCAGGCATTGTACCCAAGTGCAGGCACCAAGACTGAGGGTTAAGACAGATTTACGGGTTGCCTAGAAAGAAGGACTCAAGTGTACCAAACTCAGGTCAGTGGATAAGCTAGTTTCTGTTGTAGACTTATTAAGAACACAATAGCCCAGGGACCTAGATAATAGATTGAGTGTCTACTGTGTGGATCCCTTGAGGTAAGCTTTGCATCTCTAATGTCACTTAATCCTCTGGGCAACTTTATGCAATGTAGGTGGTATCATCCCTTCTTCAGTTAAAGTTAATTAGCTTCCCAGGCTCTGTTTTTCTCTTTAACTGTCCTATAAATTCACTTCCATTGATGGCTAATCTCATTTATTGTGTGTACCAATTTGGCTGTAGGGAAAATCACTTTATTTCCATGAACAGAGGCATCTCATTATAATCTCCAAGGAATGCAATCTTATATTCTTTCACACTTGAGATTAGATTACAGTGGTTCTCAACCTTCCTAATGCCGAGACCCTTTAATACAGTTCCTCATGTTGTGGTGACCCCCAACCATAAAATTATTTTCGTTGCTACTTCATAACTGTAATTTTGCTACTGTTATGAATCGTAATGTAAATATCTGATATGCAGGGTGTATTTTCAGGGGTCGCAACCCACAGGTTGAGAACCGCTGGATTAGAACCATTTGGGTGAAGGTCCAGGGTAGGGAGATGGCCTTTCTTTGTGGGAAGCAATAATTTCAAGCAGTGTCTCACCAAGCTGCCTGCCAGCAGTATTGCCTTGGGAACATTTAACAGGTCTGATTTAGCCACTATGTGCCCAGCTGAGCCTAGGCCCTGTGTTGCATTGTGAGGGAACCAGACAAGAATCAGACCTGGTGCTTGCCTTCTAGGGAAGGAAGAGGTAGGTAAAAAAATAAGTGGAAGGCACAGATGCTATAACCAAGGCACAGTGTGTTGTGGGATATGTGAAGGGAGGTGAATTATAAGAGGAACTCTCTAGGAAAGCTTGGATAAGGTTGGATTTAAGCTGGGCATTTAAGCCCTGCCCAACTCCTTATTGGTAAACATGGGAAGGAATGGTGTTTAGGCAAAGGCATGAGGTAGGAGAATACAGAGTATTTGGGGAATTTAAGGAATGACTTCATGGAGTTGAGGGAAGAGATAAAGATGTCTAACAAGTCACCTTAGAGTCATGGCATGTAAGAAATACTTGCATTCTTGTAAAATACAGTGACCTGTATTTCTATATTTTCCACCCTAGTCCTGGTTTTAAGTACTGTTTTCTATTGCTCCCATCTGGTTCATAATTAGTACCATATGTTGAGCAACATATTATGGGCCTGGCACCAGACTAGGTGCTTTGTCACATTTAATGCTCACTGCTGACCGTACAAGTTCAGACTTAATCCCATTTTACAGATGAGGAGACAGAGAGTAAGTATAACTTGCCCAGCATCATACAACTGGTAAGTGATAGAGGCCCAGGATGTTAAAGCCAGTATTGTTTCCGCTATACCCTTGCACTTGCCACACCTATTCTGGCATTAAATGCAGTCTATTGGTAACACATTTAACTTATAAGAATTCTGTATTTGCTTTTAAAAGAAAAAAGAAAAGAGCAGCCAGTGTGGTTCAGTGGTTGAACATCAATCCATGAACCAAGGGATCACTGGTTCAATTCCCGGTCAGAACACTTGCCCAGATTGTGGGCTCGATCCCCAGTAGGGGGACTGCAGGGAGGCAGCCAATCCGTGATGTTTCTCTTCAATGTTTCTGTCTATCTCTCTCTCTTCCTTCCTCTCTCTCTAAAATAATATTAATATATATATAAGAAAACAGAAAAAAACCCCACTTAATCTTATATTGTTATAATGTATATTGTTAAATGTATATTGTACATTTGAAATCTCGGTCATATCTAAAACACATATGCTATACTTCACAGGCCATATAAAGAATTTCAAGAATAAATTTACTCATAAAAGATTTTCATCTAATATAGTAACTTTAGAATCTAACACCTAACTGAAAAGAAGCTCTGTTGTAGTAAAATTACATGTCCAGGTGTTTGCCTTAAGACTATGGTCACCATCATTACAGGGAAGGAATGAGGGTGTTGGCCTCACCTTGTTCCTCTGCAGTTATTATGGCTTACTATAGCCATGGAAAGTTTCCTGGGTACACTTTGAAAAAAGGTCTTTGCCTTAATTTCTCTGACCATCATTCTCCTCTATCCACCTTCCACCCTTTCCATGAGATACCACTCACTAGTGGATTCTAGGAGGCAGTACCCTGTTGTAATTGCTACTGAGCAGCTGCCTTGCTCATTAAAATGTTCCCTTGGCAGAGACCGTGTAGGCCAGTGATGGCGAACCTATGACACACGTGTCAGAGGTGACACGCGAACTCATTTTTTTGGTTGATTTTTCTTTGTTAAATGGCATTTAAATATATAAAATAAATATCAAAAATATAAATCTTTGTTTTACTATGTTTGCAAATATCAAGAAATTTCTATATGTGACACGGCACCAGAGTTAAGTTAGGGTTTTTCAAAATGCTGACACCAAGCTCAAAAGGTTCGCCATCACTGGTGTAGGCTCTTAATATCTCATATGAGTTGCACATGTAAGGTTTGTGTCTCTGGTACTCTTTTCAAAGGTCCTTGTACTTCCCCAAATGTTTCCTTATGTCCCTGGTACTACTGTTTGGTCCCTTTTCTTCGCTAGAAATCAGGGACCAAAGTCAGAGTAATTGTAATGTGACAGATTTAAGGATACTCTGATTCCATCTGACTCTAAGAAGGTGATTTTATTTGAAAAAAGATGATAGCATTGTCCAGCCGACATGGCTTAGTGGTTGAGCGTTGACCTATGCACCAGAAGGTCATGGTTCGATTCCTGGTCAGGGTACGTGCCGGGTTGTGGGCTCAATCCCATGTGGGGCATGCAGGAGGCAGCCAATCAATGATTCTCTCTCATCATTGATATTTCTATACCTCTCTCCCTCTGTGTTCTGCTCTGAAATCAATAAAAATATATTTTAAAAAGAAAAAGATGATGGCATTAATTTTACTGGTAGGTTGAGAATGATAACCTTTATTATTCCTCTGCTTGGCCTCTGCAAACACCTGTTACCTAGTGGTGGGTAAGTTTGGAAGGTTATCTGTTAACAGTTGCATGTAACAAACCATCCCAAAACATAGTGGCTTAAAGCAGCAGCATCTATTACTTCTCATGAATAGATGGGTTAACTGGGTATTTCTGCAGATTGGAGCCGGCTTGGCTGATCTCAGCTGTGCTCACTCATGTATCTGATCTGCCAGCCAATTGTCTAGAACAGCTGTGGGCAAACTACTGCCCGCGGGCCGGATCCCGCCCGTTTGAAATGAATAAAACTAAAAAAAAAAAAAAAGACCGTACCCTTTTATGTAATGATGTTTACTTTGAATTTATATTAGTTCACACAAACACTCCATCCATGCTTTTGTTCCGGCCCTCCGGTCCAGTTTAAGAACCCATTGTGGCCCTCGAGTCAAAAAGTTTGCCCACCCCTGGTCTAGAAAGACTCAGTTTTCTTCACACGTCCCTCATGTCCCTCCAACAGCTAGCCTGATCATGCTCATGACATGGCAGAGGTGCAAGAGTGAGCAAGCCCAGCCATGCAAGGAAGCAATGCATTCATTTTTTCAAGCTTATGCCGGCAGCACATTTGCTAATATCCTGTGGGCCAAAGAAAGTGACATGACCACACCCAGTGTCAGAGTGAGAGGAGACTACAAAGTTGTAGGACATAGGAAAGCCATTAATTAGGGTCATTAAATCCAATTAGCCTCCTAGTCAGTACCCCTCAATGTGAAAGAAAACCTATATACATATGTCAGGTTCTCCTAGAAGGGAAAAAGAAAAGTCCAGATAAGAATTACTATGTATTGGGACTCTCCTATGGGCATGCACAGGGGTAGGCACTTACCCTTTTTATGCATTGAGCCTCACAACTCTGCAAGGTGGGTAGGAACTGGAGCTTGAGAGGTTAAATAACTTGCCCAAGGTCACCCAGCTCATGTGGTCAGGCAGGTGTTAGAGTACATATCGGTCTGACCTCCAAAGCCCAGGTTCTTTTCACCACACCTTTGCCTCTCAGAAGCACCAGGTGTCTGCCTTACCTTCCCTCCAAATCAGTTTTCAATTCAGTTGATGCCTTTGACTAGCTATACAAACGCTTCCTCCAAAATGCTGCTGTGATCCTAATGGAATTACATAGCTCTTCAGGAAACCCACATGTCTTTCCACATGTTGCATTACCTGAAATATTCTTTCCTTCCAGATGGGATTTGTCTGTAGACTGCACAGACAACACAAGGATTGTGGCCTCTCATGGACATCTCAGACAAGGAAGGGCCATCTTCTCTTTAAACTTCAAGACTTGGGGAATTTGAGCATGAGCTTTGGAGTCACTCTCACTGAGATTTAAATCCTAGTTCAACCACTCACTAGCTCTGCAACATTTGGCAACTTACTTAACTTCTTAAAATCTGTCTCTTCATCTTTAAAAATGGGAATAATAACACCTACTTTGCAGAGCTTTTACAATGGCTAAAATTATGTAAAGTGCCTAATCCAGTGCATGGCACATAATAAGTGACATTATTAGTATTGCTAATATTATTTCTAAGCGGCCTTTCCCCTCCTGGGAAACCCTGTTTCTGTCTTTTGGACAGGTTCCCCCCACCTCCAGCCAGTCTGTGCAGACTTGTTGCTTGCTGTGTCATCGGGAACGCAAAGGCTGGGAAGAAGGCCCTTCCCAAAACGGACTGGTGTTGCAGGGTGAGAAGCTGCCCCCTGACTTCATGCCAAAGCTCGTCAAGAATCTCCTAGGAGAGATGCCTCTATGGGTCTGCCAGAGTTGCCGAAGGAGCATGGAGGAAGATGAAAGGCAGACAGGTCGAGAGCATGCAGTGGCGGTAGGTAACCACTGTGAAGGGGCTCCTGAGTACAGGAGGGCTGCCTGCCCAAAGAAGTCAGGCTGTTGAACTGTTCCTTCCCTGTCCTCTCAGGTGGCTTTCCTCGGATGGCCCTTATGCCCAGGTGCTGAGAGACCGCTGGGCTGTACCCACACAGCATTAGTGGCTTAGGGTCACATGGGGGGGGGAAGAAGAGAGGAGTAAGGCAGCCCACCGGCTCCTGAGGAGAGTCTGGGTAAAATGTGAGGGACAGCTCATAGGAATTGATAGATAGGGACCTCTGCTCCTTCCATGTGGCCATGCTGCCTTCAGCTCTGTGGCAGCTTGAAAGCCAACTAGTATGGCATAGAGGGCAAAGGTCAGTTTGAGGGTCTATAGTGTGCCTCAGAAGGCCTCCAAGATGCTGGGAGCCATCTAAGTCTGCAATCTCCTGAATCAGCAATCAGACCATCCTTGTTTCTCGTTCCCCTCCAGCCCCTCACTTTTACCAGGACTCCTGACTTACAGACCCTTCTCTCCTTGGGAGCTCTCTGGACTCCCCAAAGGCCCACAGTTGACAGGCATTCTCTGTGATCCCTCCCCGCCCCCCAAGTCTCTCACCAGCATCCACACACTTTACTTCACTGGGAGCGGCACAGCCCACTGGGAGCAACTTGGCCCACATTTGCCCTTGCACCTGGAGCTGTGGGGATTGTGCTTTGGCCGAGAGGAGAAAGCTCTCCTGGGTAAGCTTAGGCAGCCAAGGATTGGCTCTGATGTTTGCTGTTTCATCATGAGCCTCTTTCTTACCTCTTCTCCAGATATCCTTGTCACACACATCCTGCAAATCACAGTCTTGTGGGGGTGACTCTCATTCCTCTTCGTCATCCTCTTCATCATCCTCATCCTCGTCCTCATCCTGCCATGGAAACTCAGGGGACTGGGATCCCAGCTCGTTCCTGTCAGCACATAAGCTCTCGGGCCTCTGGAACTCCCCACACTCCAGCGGGACTGTTCCAGGCAGCTCACTTGGGAGTCCTCCTTCCATCCCTGGTGAGTGTCCCAGCTCGGGAAAGAGACAGACTTCAGAAGTGTAGACAGCTGTGTTTTCCTAACCACTTTGTTCAAACAAACCAGAAGATCAGTTATTAAATTAAGTAAATGTAGAACTATTCTAGTGGAAGCAGGGGGGCACTCCTTTCCCCAGGACTCTGAAGATAAAAAACACTGCTGTCATTGGCTCTGGTAGCTGTTCCCATTAGAGCCAGAAGGGGACCTGGTGGGCACTGATGGAGTCTGGGAGGGCCCTTAGGGCATTAGGACCTAAATCACAGAACACCTGACCCCTACAGCAGCACAGAGGACTTAGGCTCCCTTTTCTCCACCTATGGGGTGGGTATAAAAGGCCCCACTTCTATCCACAGAGGATGACACTGCAAGCTGCCATGATTATTAGCCTATTTCGTAGCCCTATATGCCTTCTTTAGACCCTGAGGTAATCCTCAGAGACCAAAAGAAAAAAATCATGGCTTATTGATGTACTGTGTAAATATGGAATTGCTGTCTACTTGTAAGTGGAGGGGCTGAGTTCCTCAGAGGGGTGCTGTCCCCTCAACTGTGAGAGTTGAGCAGTACATATTTCCAGTTATTTTGGTGCATAAACTAAAGTCATGAAAGCCTTTTTTTACTTCTCTGAAATCTGGGGCCACTGAAGAGTCTCACTCTTCATGGCCCAGAGACAGAATCGCAGCCTGCTGCTCTGCTGGCTCCTGCAGATCCTGCCCTGGGTCTGAGGAGTACCTGAGCAAGCAGGTCTTAGAGAGACCCTGACAGACAGAATACGTTTCCCTGCTTGTGCCACAGTAGAGGTGTATGGCCTTCCATGGGGCTGGCATTCCTGGTGCCTTCTCCCTCAGGCCTGGGCTTCTCAAGCTTGTCCAGCCAAGCTGCTGCCTGCAGAGAAACCTCTCCAGCCCAAGGTAGCACTGCTAGACATTCCCAAAAGCTCATGGGTCTACTGTGCTGAGGTACTGTGCCCAAATATGTCCCTCTGTTTGCAGTAAGCAGGGTGCTGGGGCAGCGGGTCCTTGGGCTTTCCTCCCAGGGGTCTGGGCCCCCACTCTGACACCTTTCTCCCCCATGTGCCCACAGGTGAGGTTTTCCCCATCTCGGAGCACCGCCGGCACTCAGACCTCACTGCTCCACCCAACAGCCCCACTGGCCACCATCCACAGCCAGTGTCACTGATCCCATCTCACTCTGGATCCTTTGGTTCACCATCCCACCCACACCTGCTGCCCACCACCCCCTCAGCACCATTCCCTGCGCAGGTTTCAGAATGCCCTGTTGCTGCTGCTGCCGCCCCACATACCCCAGGGGCATGTCAGAGCCCCCACCTGCCTTCCACCAGCATGCCGCTCCTGAAGATGCCTCCTTCTTTCTCGGGGTGCAGCCACCCCTGTAGTGGGCACTGCAGTGGGCCTCTGCTCCCACCACCAGGCTCACAGCAGCTTCTTAACACTCACAGGTGAGTGAGTGGCCTGAAGGACAAACTCCCTGCTGACTTGGGCTTAGAGTTTTGGAAAACTTTGCAAAGGCTACCATTGGGGTAGAACTTAAAGGGTAGACTCTGTTTATGGTTGTTGTTTTTTTATTGTTTTTACAATTATAAAAGAAATACGTATTTGTTATTTTTTTAAAACTTGGGAAAATTGCCCTGGCTGGTTTGGCTCCATGACTAGAGCATTGGCCCTCACACTGAAGGGTTTGAGGGTTCGATTCCCGGTCAAGGGCACATACCTGGGTTGCAGGTTCACTCCCTGCCCCAGGTTGGAGCACAATTGGGTTGTGTGTGGGAGGCAAGCAGTCAGTGTCTCTCACATCGATGTTTCTCCCTTTCCCCCTTCCCGCCTTCCCCTTCCCCTCGTCCTCTCTCCCCCTCCCTCCCTCCCTTCCACTCTCTCTGAAAAGCAATGGGGAAAATATCCTCATGGAGGATTAACCAGAAAAAAAAATTTGGAAAAATTTAGAAATGTCTATAAAGAAAAAATGTCCTCAATCAAAAGATAAATTTCTAATGCTGCAGTGTAGTCTCCCTGATGTTTCTCTATGTAGAATAATTAGGTCTCTGTTTGACATACTTTTTAAAAAATTGATTTGAGAGAGAGAGAGAGAGAGAGAGAGAGAGAGAGAGAGAGAGAGACACACACATTGAGTTGTTACACTTATATATTCATTCAGTGGTTGATTCTAGTATGTGCCCTGACTGAGGATTGAACCCGTAACCTTGGTGTATTGGGATGATACTCTAACCCACTGAGCTACCTGGCCAGGACACTATACATTTTTGTGTAATGATTTTTTTTTTAATGATTTTTTTTAAACATTATACCATTGATGATTTCTCCAGTTAAAAATTCTTCAAAACACTTTTCAGTGGCCACTTAATATCTCATTGTATAGCTCTAGCATGATTTTTTTTTTTTTTCCTACCCTGGACATTTAGGCATTTCCAGTTTTTAAACCATTATAAACATGGCTGTTATAAGCATCCTTGCACCCAAATCTGTGTTTGAGTTGGGAATTGTGTCCTTAAGGTAGAGTCCTAAAGTAACTCTAGTTGTTGAGAAAGGTTATATTAATATATATTTGAAAGATACAGTTCTTTGGAGAAGATAGATGTCTATTTTTATTATAAATCAGGTCTGTGTTTGTTACACATTTGTAGTTGCCCACTCTAAAATCCCACCCCTTGTAGCAGTTTTCCCTCATCTCTTCCACATGCGTTGATGATGTCTGTGTGGTCGGCGGTTTCACTTAGCATTTTTAGCCTTCTGTGTGGTCTTCTGAGCCTCAGCTTCACGGGTGGGAGGATATTCTCCACTGTGCACTTTACCATTCTCTAGTCACTGAAATTTAGGTCATTCCACATTTTTCCCCCCAACGTTTTAATTTTCATTTTTTAATATATATTTTTTTATTGATTTCAGAGAGAGGAAGGGAGAGGGAGAGAGAGAGAGAAACATCCATGATAAGAGAGAATCATGGATTGGCTGCCTACTGCAAGTCCCCCACTGGGGATTGAGCCCACAACTCCGGCATGTGCCCTTGACTGGAATCGAACCTGGGACCTTTCAGTTCACAGGCCGACGCTCTATCTACTGAGCCAAACCGGCTAGGGCAACATTTTAATATTATAAATAATATCTAAAGATGCCTTTGCTTAAAGCTTTTTCTGACTTGGATTTTTCTCCTTGAAATAGATCTCTCAGAATGAAAAAAAGTTCTCAGTTTAAAGGATGTCAGGATGTTTTTCCCTTTTTTTTTTAATTTCAGAGAGGAAGGGAGAGGGAGAGAGAATCACTGATCGGCTGCCTCCTGCACAACCCCCACTGGGGTTCGAGCCCTCAACCCAAGCATGTGCCCTTGACCGGAATCGAACCCAGGACCCTTCAGTCCATAGGCTGACACTCTATCCACTGAACCAAACTTGGTAGGGCTGGTTTTGGTTTTTTTAAGAAGGGTTTTTAATATACTGAAAAACTGCTTTCCAAAAAGCTCTCCATAATGCCATGGCACCAGTATTAGAGTGCTGATCTCTCCATATTCTCGGGGGTACTGAGTATTATAATTTTGCTAATGTAGCAGCTGAAGAGTGGTCAATTTGGATTAAGTTTCTCTAAGCACCACTGATAATAGCTCATGCTCCTCCTTTTCCACCCATGGGACTAACCTGCCCTGGAGCCAAGCCTCTTCCCAGCCCCTTGCCCTGCCCTTCCACCTGGCTCCCACTGCTGATTCCAGTCTGTATTATAAGATGCCCTGTGCTTCCTGAAATCCGGAGTCAGCAGTGCAGTGGAAGAGCATGAACTTTGCGCACAGACACAGGCTGAGTCCTGGTCACTCCATGAGCAAAGCAGTGAAGCACTCTGAGCCTGTCTCCTCCACTGCAACACCTATTTTGCGTGCCTTGGGGGGGCGGGGGCGGGTAGTCTGTCTGTCTGTCTGTCTGTCTGTCTATCTATCTATCTATCTATCTATCTATCTATATATATATAAAAGCCCAGCAACTGAAACAGCAGAACAGCCAGAATGACCAGAACGACTGGTGGCTATGATATGCACTGTGGCAGCCAACCAGCCTGATTCGGGTCCCGATTGGCACCCCCCCCTTGGCCGGCCCAGCCCCTGATCGGCCCCCAACCCCTCACCCATTAGGGGCAGGGCCAGCTGCCAACCACCCGCAGCCCCTCCTCCCGACCGGCCCACCCCCAATCGGCCTCCATCACCCCTATCAGGGCGGCCGGCCAGACCCCACTTGTGCACGAATTCGTGCACCGGGCCTCTAGTTAGAAATAATATGTTGAATACAGTACCTGGCACAAACAAGTTCTTGGAGTCTATGGCCCACAAGGCCCATTTTTTCCTAACCTCGAGGCCCAATGGCTAAGGCAGCTTTGCCTACTGGTACAGACTCAGTCATAAGATCTTAGAGTGAAAGGAGACTTACCCTGTTAACCTCCTTTGGATGCTCCAGGGGAGCCACCAGCCCACTAATCTGTTCAGATTACTTACTGAGAACCCACTGTGTGCAAGGCTGTTATGCTATACACTGGGACCCAAAAATAGAAGTGGCATAGTCCCTGCCTTTGGAGAGTGCACAGTTGATCTGAGACAAATAGATTGCTATAGTAAAGTGTGATAGATGGTAGGATGGAGACAGATGTATTCGGGGCCATCAGAGTCCGGGAGGGTCAGATGATGGGTGTGGGCAGGAGAGGCATTGGGGACCTTTCCAGAACAGTGCCATTGAGCTGGGCCCTGTGGGACAATGAGGGTGTTAGCCTTGTAATTATGAGTGGCATTGATGCAGCCTGGCTGCCTTGACCTTTGTGGGATGAGGCAGCTTAAGGGCAGTGGGGACATTGATGGCAGGGCTGCTTCTCCAGGTCCCTGTTGTAGCCTGCTCCTGCCACACCCTCTCTCACCTTTGGGCCTGTCTTTCTCCCCCATCAGCAGAGACCCCGGGTGCAAGGGGCACAAGTTTACACATAGTGGCCTGGCCTGCCAACTGCCCCAGCCCTGCGAGGCAGATGAGGGGCTAGGCGAAGAAGAGGACAGCAGCTCAGAGCGTAGCTCCTGCACCTCGTCCTCCACGCACCAGAGAGATGGGAAGTTCTGTGACTGCTGCTACTGTGAGTTCTTCGGCCACAATGCGGTGAGTGAACCTGCCTATGCCTGAGAGGGCTCGGGGCCAGCCAAGGTGAGCCAGGGGAGTGCCTGCTCTCCCCAGAAACCCCTTGCTCAAGGGGATAGTAACCTCGCTGGGACCCTGTGAGTCCTCGCATCTGTGTCTGCTCACTTGATCCTTACAGCAAATTGGTGAGGTAGGGTTTTTAAACATTTTGCTAACTTTGCTGTTTTTGTGGTTTCTCTTAAGATGACATTTTTTTTCCTTAGGCAAAAGGAAAGGAAATGGCAGAGAGGAAAGCTATAATTCTGATGAGTTTGTGTATGGCATAATCACAGAGAAGTGAACACTTGTGCAATGAAGGCAGAATGGAAGCAAAGGCTCTCAGTCCCCCAAGTGTGAGAGCCAGCTGAGGGACAGGCCATGTGCACAGATGGTGCCAGGAAGGAGGCACAGAGCAGAATACATGCTGTCTCTGGACAGGGGGAGGAAGCAGTTCAGAAGTCTTCTAAGGTGAAGAGGAAGGGGCCGCCGGCTAGGGGAGAGCAGTTGAGAACAGAAGAATTGAAAGTAATTACATTGCTAGTCACCTTTCAGCTAGGTGTTATCCTCATTTTAGAGATGACAAAATTGAGGCTCACAAGACTCAGTGACCTGCCCAAGGTCATACATCTTCCAAGTGACGAAGCCTGGGCTCAAACCTGCTTTCCTGGCTCCCATGCCAGTGTGCTCCCAATGCTGTCACATATCTCCTACTCCCTCCTCACACCGCCTGGCTGAGGTGAAGCCATTTGGCCTCTGTGGCTCTGGTAGAAAGAACAGTTGTCTCGCTTCTTACCACATGTTTGGTGCCAGCGGGTGGGAGTCCTACGGGCTTCCCAGGCCCAGGGTGTAACGTCAGCACCTCCCCCTCCCCCAGCCACCCGCTGCCCCGACGAGTCGGAATTATACCGAGATCCGAGAGAAGCTCCGTTCAAGGCTGACCAGGCGGAAAGAGGAGCTGCCCATGAAGGGGGGCGCCCTGGGCGGGATCCCTGGGGAGCCCGCCGTGGACCACCGAGATGTGGATGAGCTGCTGGAATTCATCAACAGCACGGAGCCCAAAGTCCCCAACAGCGCCAGGGCCGCCAAGCGGGCCCGGCACAAGCTGAAAAAGAAGGTGGGTGTGGGGGGGGAACCCAGCTCTATCACCTCTTCTTCCTGAGGAATGCCTTGCCCCAACCCCCAGGACTTCCGGGGCATGAATGCTGCTGGCTGCCAAGGACTTTGGTGTGGCTCACTGCTCTGGGAAGGTCTGAATGAGTTTGGGAGGCATCAGGGTCAGGGAGACTGGGGGCCAGTGACTGGAGGACAAACGAGTCCTGGCCTCAGAAGCAGCTTGCTGGATTCCTTCAAGCCCAGGACTTGCTTTAGTCAGTCAATCACTTAATCATTCCGTAAACACTGTAAATACTGCAAAAACAAACAAACAAAAAAACCCAAAGCATTTGTTAAGTTCTTACCCTGGAGAAGTTCGGTCCATTGGAGAGACTGACACAAAACTTGACGAGCACATTAGTGTGTGACACATACTGGGATGAGGGAAGCCCCCCATCCTGCTAGGGCTTGCTGGAAATGGCCATACCAAGAGGCTGACTCTGGAACTGAGTCACAGGGAGTGAATACAAACTCATCAGGAGGGCCCTCCTGGCAGCGGGCATAACACTTTCACAGCAGTAGTGCAGCCAGGGCTCAAACAGGAGAGGAAGGACAGACAGTGGAGGTGAGGAAGGGCCTGTGGGCCCTGCTGAAGAGCTTTGAGTTGATCCTGCAGCTGAGGAGAGTCACTGGAGGGCTTTAATCAAAGAATGCACTTGGTTGATTCTGTATTCCAAGATTATTGTGTGGCAGTATGGAAGATAGCCTGGTGAAGTGATACTCCAGACCAGAAAGCCGAGAGCCAGAGTACAGATGATTGATGGTGGGACTGGACGAGAGGTGTATTTTCAGAGGAAGCAGAAGTGACAGGCTTTGGTGATTTGATTACAAGACAGATAAAGGAGTTAGGGATGTTTCCCAAGTGTTTGCTTAGGTGACTGGTAGAATGGTGTGCCTTTCATTGAGCAAGGATGGGATTGGCAGAAGACAGGAATTCAGCTGGGGCATGTTACCTCAGAGGTTCTCACGAGACATCCAAGTGGAAATGGAGGTGTGGGGCTGGGAGTTGCCAACGTGGAGATGTAATTGAAGCCATGGGAATGACCTAAGCTAAGGCCAGTGAGTTTTTCCCGGGCAGCCCTGATGCCAGGCGAGCCCTAGGGCTTGATGGCTGGTCCCCTGCCACCTCATTACCTTTTTGCCTGCCTACTCCCGGCTGCATCTGCACAGTGCCATACTTGAGAGCCCAGCAGTTGAGGAGATTGGGTTTGACAACCAGCTGGCTCCAGGTCCTGGGTGGTCAAACAGCCCTGGTATTCTGGAAAGCAACAGTGGTTCTCCATCTTTTTCCAACCCAAAGGACAAACCAGGACCTTTATCCAGCACCCTGAAGCAGGGGCCCACCATTGCCTTCAGAACGTAGTCAGCACTTTTTCCCTCCCATCCAGCATTGCCTGGCCAGAAGTGTCCTGTGGGCAGCCTGGCCTCTTTAACGTTTCCTGGCCTCTTAAGACAGGTATCAGTGGGCACATTTTGCAGTTCCTAGGCCTCGTGTGCTTTTCATAAATCTGTGTGCCACACATTCTTTTTTCTTCACCAAATAATGCTCTCTTCTCTCCCCTGACAACTTCCTTCCAAGCTCAGTTCAGATGTCTCCTCTTTTGCAGCCTTGCTCAGGTAACTTCTCCCACTGTACTCCTGCTACACCTTGCATATCCCTCTAGTCTGCCATTTATCACACACTAGTCACTAACTCAAAAACTCACTGCACAGTAGAGACCAGGATACAGTGGAAGCAGCCAGTTGCAATGCCATGTGATAGGCCATCATGGTCATTATCTTTTTATACGTGAGCCTCCTCCCCATTTCCTTCCACCTATCTCCTAGCCTTACAACCTGGCTATTCACCGAAAACACAGCTTTCCCTAGTAGTCATCCAATAGAGTGCTCATTCTGTCCTGCCACGGGAGACAACTGAGCCCCTATATTGCCTAGCAGGCCTCTGGTTTTCTTACTTCTGATCACTTCATTCATCATAGCCCCTTTATCAGACCTCCATTCTTCTCTAACTTCCAGGTTTTCCCCACCCACACCTTATTTTTTGGCAAATAACCTTATTTTCTGTTTCACCAAGGCCAGTGGACAGGCATGCTCTCAACATCTTACTGCCCCAGGGTAACTTATCATGAGGATGAGTTACCCTTTTTCCTAGCTAAGGCCCATGCAGTCCTTTCTTGCCTCTTCAGGCTACCATCGACTTCCTGTCCTGCACCTGCAGCCTCTCCTCTGGGCTCTTTCCCATCAGCATTCTGCTGTGCCCAGTACTCTTTTTTTTTTTTTTTTTTTTTTATTTTCAGGTAGTTCTGGAGCCCCAAGGCAGCCACTCATGTATCCCTCATTAACGACTTCTCATCCAGATATTTTTTTTTTTTTGGTATAGCAAAGGTGGAAATTTATTGAAGAACAAGTACAGATTCCCACGTGGGGAGGGGGAAGAGTCCCCCCAGTACTCTTTTTAGAAAGCAAACTGTTTCTTGAGCATACAGCCTGTCTCACCCCACTCATCTCTTTCCTCTCATCATAGCCAAATCTCTTGAAAAATAGTCTCTGTATTCACTGTCTTTACTTCTCCCATCTCACTACAACCTCTTTTCCACCCCCACCCCACCAGAGAGCTACCAGTGACTTCTTTGTTGCCAAATAGTCATATTTTCCTGTTCCATCTTCTTTGTCCACTAGGCAACATCTCACATTTTGTGTTTGTTCTCCTCTTCAAACATTCTTTTCTTTGGCACCTTCATTCTCAGTTGAGGGGGTACAGGAAAGGACAATGGGAATGCCAAATTCACGTTTTCCACCTTCCTCTCTGCCCTCTTTTCTGTCTCCTTTGTGAGCTCCTCTTCTTCATGGTGCCTTCCTGCTTGAGGACACATCCCTGGGAAAGAGAATCCATTTAGATAGTGTTGCCTCCCCGTATGGTCTGGCCACTTGTTTCCTCCTTGCACTTCACACTGATGTCCACTACTGCTACCAGGCACCTTCTCACAGCATTCCACAGGTACTCAAACTCAGCACGTCCAAAGCAGCTTATCTTTCTCCAAGAGGCCTGCTCCTCCTCCTCCATTGTTTAGTTGGGTGCACCACTATCCACCCAGCTGCCTGAATCAGAACCTGGGTGCCATCTTGGGAGGAATGCATTGTGGTGATCGGGAGCAGTGGGCCTTGGAATTGGACCTCAGTTTGAAACCTGGCTCTGCCACCCTTGCTGTATGACCTTGGGCAAATCACCTAACCTTCAAGCCTCAGTTTCTTCATCAATAAAATGAGAAGAACAGTAGAACCTAACTCAGATTATTGCAAGGATGAAATGGAGTGATGCGCAGAAAAGGTTCAGCACAGTGAACAATTGGTCATTGTAGCTGCTGTGGCAGAAAGGTGGTTGTCAGGGTTGTTTTCATAACTCATCTCATTCTCCCCACCCATCACTGAGAGTCCTGGCCATGCTACCTCCCAAGTAGCTCAAACCATCCACTTCTCTCCACCTGTGGCCACTACTTAAAAAGCCTTCAATGTCTGAATGTGACCGCAGGATCGAACCCAAACTCAAGCATGGCCTCCAGGACGCTTCAGGATCTAGCCCGTACTTAGCTTGCCAGCTTCACCTCTGTCCCTTCTAGGCTCCAGCTGTACCTCTGAGTGGTTTACACTCCCTAAAGATTTTGTGTTTTTCAATTTCCCAGCCTTTCTGCTTATCTTCTGTCTGGAAAGTGCTTGTCTCACTCTCTCCAGGATAATCCTCCTCACCCTTCATGCTCAGGGAGATACTACTGCCCCTGGGAAGCATTCCCTGATGGCCCAGTCTGGGTTCCTAGAGCACCCTGTGCTTTTCCCCCATAGCTCTTGTCACTGTTACTCAGGAAGTCACTGTCTCGCAGAATTAAACAGCTTGTTTGCTGTGTGTCCATCTCCCCAAGCACACTCAAGTCAACGAGTAGAGACTCTTTTCTGCACACTTGTATTCTCAGAGCCCAGTCTAGTGCCTCAGAGTCGATGGTCATGAAATGATTTTCAGACGGGACTGAAAAACACAAGAACTGCAGATCACAGCTGGATGTGCTGTCTCGATTCTGCCACTGACTAGCCATGTAACCTTGAGCCAGTTCCTTATTCTTTCCAAAGTTGAGTGCCCTCATCTGTAAATTGAGGATAATGATGCAACAAGGGCAGTTGTGAGGATTAAATGAGACAACCTGTGAGCTCATGGTGCCCAGCAGAAAATGTGTTTCCCGCTTCTCACTACCAAATTGTATGCGGTTCCGTATCACTCCCTCTACACCAGTTTTGAGACATCTTTGTTTAGCAGCAGAACTAATTCTTCTGAAAATGAAAAGGAACTCAGTTTCTTTCTTTCTTTTATTTTTTTAAAATAAATCTTTATTGTTCAGATTATTACAGTTGTTCCTCTTTTTTCCCCCATAGCTCCCCTCCACTCGGTTCCCACCTCACCCCCTGCCCTTACCCCCCACACCCCCTTCCCTCCAAGAATTGTCAGTCCACTCCCTTTCTATGCCCCTGATTCTATTCTATTCACCAGTTTATTCTGTTCGACAGATTTTAAAAAATATATATTTTATTGATTTTTTTACAGAGAGGAAGGGAGAGGGATAGAGCAGTCCATTCCCTTTCTATGTCCCTGATTCTATTATAATCACCAGTTTATTCTGTTCATCAGATTATTTATTCACTTGATTTTTAGATTCACTTGTTGATAGATGTGTATTTGTTGTTCATAATTTGTATCTTTACCTTTTTCTTCTTCTTCCTCTTCTTAAAGGATACCTTTCAGCATTTCATATAATACTGGTTTGGTGGTGATGAACTCCTTTAGCTTTTTCTTATCTGTGAAGCTCTTTATCTGACCTTCAATTCTGAATGATAGCTTTGCTGGATAAAGTATTCTTGGTTGTAGGTTCTTGGTATTCATCACTTTGAATATTTCTTGCCACTCCCTTCTGGCCTGCAAAGTTTCTGTTGAGAAATCAGCTGACAGTCGTATGGGTACTCCCTTGTAGGTAACTGATTTTCTTTCTCTTGCTGCTTTTAGGATTCTCTCTTTGTCTTTTGCTCTTGGCATTTTAATTATGATGTGTCTTGGTGTGGTCCTCTTTGGATTCCTTTTGTTTGGGGTTCTCTGCGCTTCCTGGACTTGTAAGTCTATTTCTTTCACCAGGTGGGGGAAGTTTTCTGTCATTATTTCTTCAAATAGGTTTTCAATATCTTGCTCTCTCTCTTCTTCTGGCACCCCTATAATTCGGATGTTGGTACGCTTGAAATTGTCCCAGAGGCTCCTTGTACTATCTTCATATTTTTGTATTCTTTCTTCCTTTTGCTTTTCTGGTTGGGTGTTTTTTGCTTCTTCGTATTTCAAATCTTTGACTTGATTCTTAGGATCCTCTAATCTGCTGTTGGATCTCTGTATATTATTATTTCAGTCATTCTATGCTTAATTTCTAATGGGTCCTTTTTCATATCCTTGAGGGTCTCACTGTATTTCTCGGAGATTTCTAGAAGATTCTTGAGTAACCTTATAACCGTGGTTTTGAACTCTATATCCAGTAGTTTGCTTTCCTCCATTTCTTTCATTTGTGACCTGTTTCTTTGTCTCTGCATTTTGGCTGCTTCCCTGTGTTGATAGAGTGGCTTTGTGTGCTAGGTGTCCTATAGGGCCCAGAGGCTCAGCCTCCCTAATTACCTGAGGTGGACACTCTGGGTGCACCCCTTTGTGGGCTGTGTGCACAGTCTTGTAGTTAAGCCTTGATTGCTGTTGGTATCACTGGGAGGAATTGATCTCCAGGCCAATTGGCTGTGAGGACCAGTTATGTCTACAATGGGAGAACTTCTGTGCTGAAGACACCCTTATGGGGCAGGACTTGCTTCAGTGGGGCTTTGGCGCTCACTGAGTCTGCCCAGGTTTTTATGTGGAGAAAGTCCAGGCCATTTATATGCAAAAGTCTCTGCACACAGCTTCGGTGTGGTTGTAAATTGGGTGAGGCGGGGTCTCAGAGAATCACCAGGGCAGAGCAAACTGCAATGGCTGCCAGTCTGCTCTGCCTTGGAGAGGTCCCGGGGTCTGTGTTCCGCAGCCCATGCAGGAACAATGACCGCTGCAAGCACCTCTGCGAGAAAGCCACCCTCGTGTTCTGGCCCGATGCCTGACAGTCCAGTTTCTCTCCGTATGAGTCTGGGTCCCCAAATTCTCACCCGGAACTGGAGTTCAGAGCAGTCGGGAGCTTGTATCTCCCTCCTGATTGAAAAAGACAACAGCGTACCCAGCTGCCAGCCCCTTTTGCACACTCCTCCATACCTCCGCACTTCCACACCTCTGCACCTCCTACCAGACTCAATGCGCTTTTCTCTTCCCTTCTAGTTGTAGAAATTCCACTCAGCCAGCCTTCCCGTGGTTCTGGATGATAGTCATTTTGTCTTTTAGTTGTAGTTTTAATGTGGTTGTGTGTGGCAGCAAATTCAGGTGTTTACCTATGCCACCATCTTGATTGTATCTCTCTTTTTTTTTCTTTTTATTGAATTTATTGGGGTGACACTGATTAACAAAATTATGTAGGTTTCAGGTGCTCAATTCCACAACACATAATCCTGTACACTGTATTGTGTGTTCACCACTCCAAGTCAAGTCCGCAGCCCATGCAGGAACAATGACCGCTGCAAGCACCTCTGCGAGAAAGCCACCCTCGTGTTCTGGCCCGATGCCTGACAGTCCAGTTTCTCTCCGTATGAGTCTGGGGCCCCAAATTCTCACCCGGAACTGGAGTTCAGAGCAGTCGGGAGCTTGGATCTCCCTCCTGATTGAAAAAGACAACAGCGTCCCCAGCTGCCAGCCCCTTTTGCACACTCCTCCATACCTCCGCACTTCCACACCTCTGCACCTCCTACCAGACTCAATGCGCTTTTCTCTTCCCTTCTAGTTGTACAAATTCCACTCAGCCAGCCTTCCCGTGGTTCTGGATGATAGTCATTTTGTCTTTTAGTTGTAGTTTTAATGTGGTTGTGTGTGGCAGCAAATTCAGGTGTTTACCTATGCCACCATCTTGATTGTATCTCTCTTTTTTTTTCTTTTTATTGAATTTATTGGGGTGACACTGATTAACAAAATTATGTAGGTTTCAGGTGCTCAATTCCACAACACATAATCCTGTACACTGTATTGTGTGTTCACCACTCCAAGTCAAGTCTCTTTCCATCACCATTTATCCCCTCTATATCCTCCTCTTCCTTCCAGACCCCACTTCCCCAGAACTCAGTTTTTAACAAAAGCAAAGGTGTTCTGGTGTAGGGCAGGAGTGAAGAGAAGAAGGGCCTTCTAATCCTTTGTGCATTCCCCATGGCCTCAGCGCTCTGCCCATGGCCTTGAACTCCATGATATATACTGGAAACACTCATCCAGGTTGAAGTACTCCCTCATCTGAGCACCATGGTTATCAAGGTGTACAGCTTTACTTGTGCCAAGGGAGAGGGACACACACCCTCTCAGGTGTCCTAATAGCAATCCTATTAAGTATAGGTAGGTCATTTTTCTCCCAAATTTACAAATGGGGATAATAAGGTTCAAAGAAAATAAGTGATTTGTCCAAGGCCCCACAGTTGTGGTCCTAGTTAGTTGTGGAGTCAGTGTTCAAGAAAGATGAGAGAATAAATAAATAAATGTATGCCCGTTGGGGCACAGGGTTACCCTCTTTAAGTTGACTCTGAGGTGGTGGCATGTCCCCACTTTCCTTTTTCTGCTTCTTCCCCTTCAATCCCAAATCAACTGGAAATATGTGAAATTGTGGGTCATTCAGCCCCTGGCACAATACCAGTCCACCACCTTCCTATAAGCCTTTGACATCTGTCTCCTATCTTCCTGTAAAGGCCTCATTGGTTCTGCTGGTGCTTTGAGTTTGGGCAGAGAGGTGGGGTGAAAGCCCACATGCTTTCCTTTTCACTCTCCAGATCTGGCTCTGTCAGCACTGATTGGCAGGGCCTAGCCTCCCTGAGTCCCCTGGGCCGCACCTGGGCAAAGGGGCTACTTTTACATCTTGCCCTAGGGGCCCCATGTGGCTGTCCATTGTATGCTGTGGGGCACGCTCTAGGTGTGGTCTTGATTATTTGAGGCCAACTGAAGCTTGGCCCTCTTCAGTGGCACCTGTATACAGCATCGGGAGGGCACACATTCTCGACCACCCAAAGCAGTCTGATCTACCATGTCAATCTCGCAGCCCCACATGTTCCTTCCTGAAAGATCCATATGATGGCATAGCTTTTTTCCTCTACAACCTGCAGAATTGGAAGGAATGCCTCTATAACAGCTATCTTCCTCACATCCGTCCCCACTTTGGTCTTCACTCCAAAATTATTGTCCTTATTTTGCACATGAGTCCACTGAGACTCAGCAAATAAGTGGATTGCTCAAGCACAGGCCTGGAAGGCAAGATTCAGTGAACTATGTTCCTACCCCTTTGAGTCCAGCCTTCTTAGGCCCTAGGACTGACACTGGGATTCTGGGTGAACAAGCTGTAAAAACCTTGCCCTCTGGGTCTAACTGCCTCCACCCCCAGGACGTATACCTGTCTGATTGCACTTCATCTTTACTCCTGCAGAGTGGGAAAGCAGGCCAGGATTTCGAGGTCCTGCTTCTAGCCAATCAGTGGCAGAGCTGGGCCCCAGGCTAGTGTGTCAAATGTTATGTTTTGCCTAGTTACTAGTAGCTGCCAGGCCCCTGCTGAAACTGCCTCTTGTATTGGCAGGAAAAGGAGAAAGCCCAGTTGGCAGCAGAATCTCTAAAGCAGGTGAATCGTGGTGTTTCTGGAAGCCAGGAGCTGAGGCCTGCCAGAGAGAGGTTTTTGGAGTGGCCTGACCAGGAGCTGGATCGGGTCAACAGCTTCCTGAGCAGCCGTCTGCAGGAGATCAAGAACACTGTCAAGGACTCCATCCGTGCCAGCTTCAGTGTGTGTGAGCTCAGCATGGACAGCAATGGCTTCTCTAAGGAAAGAGCTGCTGAGCCTGAGACCCAGAGTCTCCCCGCCTTGAACCTCAATGGCTCCTCAGGGCACCGACCTGACATCAACCTTGACCTGTCCCCTTTGACTTTGGGCTCCCCTCAGAACCACACGTTACAAGCTCCAAGTGAGTCAGCCCCACCATGGGCAGAAATGAGAGGCCCCCAACCACTGTGGACAGAGGTGAGGGGCCCTCCTCCTGGTATCATCCCGGAGAATGGGCTAGTGAGGAGACTCAACACCGTGCCCAACCTGTCCCGGGTGATCTGGGTCAAAACACCCAAGCCAGGCAACACCAGCTCTGAGGAGCCAAACCCAAAGGAAGTCCCTAGTGGCAAGCAGGAGCTACCTGAGCCTGTGGCCTCAGGTGGGAAGCCACGGAAAGGCAAGAGACAGGGTGGTCAGGCTAAGAAGAGTGAGGCGACTCCAGCCCCCAGGTCCTCAGCCAGCCTGGAGGCTCCCGGTGCTAAGGGCCAGACCTCCAGCCCCAAGCAGCCAGGCAAGACCCTGGAACCTCCCAAAGTGGGCTGCTGTGCTGAGGCCAGAGAGGGGAGCCCGGGAAACCGGCCAGAACCAGGCTGGGCTAGCAGCCCAAAAGCTGACAAGGAGAAGGGCAGCTCTTGGCGAAACTGGCCAGGTGAGGCCAAGGCACGGCCTCTGCAACAGGAGTTTGTGCAGCCCTCAGGCCCAGCAAGGCCACAGAGCTTGCCGCAGGGCAAGGGCCGCAGCCGCCGGAGCCGCAACAAGCAGGAAAAGTCGGCCTCCTCCTTGGGTGAGTGCACCAGGAACAGTGGCTGGCCCCCACCCTGCCAGCCCACGGGGTGGAGGGCAGTCCTCGTGTGTGGGCAGCACTGACCCAGAGGCCTGGATGTGGGCACTGAGCCCTCCTGGCTGTGTCTTCCTAGACGATGTGTTCCTGCCCAAGGACATGGATGGGGTGGAGATGGATGAGACTGACCGGGAGGTGGAATACTTCAAGAGGTAGGTGTGGGGCTGCCTGCTCTCCTGCCCGCACCCAGGCCTTTCAGAAAGGGCCTCCCTCAGCCCTGAGCCCTGGGATGGAGAGCCTCTCCAGCCCTCCTGGCTTTCCCCACAGTCTCCGTACTAAAGAAGCCACCTGGCAGGATGGGGCATCTGGCAAGGTGCAAGGGACTGAATGAAGGAGGTGTGCGTGTCAGACCCCAAGAACCAGGCCTTTTCCGGCTTTGTTCACTTTGTTTATTCACTTGTACTTCCTTTACTTTGCCTGGACTGAGCTATGGGGCAGAGATGAATCAAACAGTCTAGATGGGGCGAGAGCATAAACCTACAGTCTGGCAATAAGTGCGGCTATAGAAGTAAGTGGTGGGGGCTGCCAGAGCAGCCCTCCCAGAAGAGGTGATAACCAAGCTGAAACTTGAGGAATAGGAATGAGTGGGCCAAGGAAAACAAGGATATTTGTGACAGTGGAGTCAGCACATACAGAGATTTGAGGGTGAAAGAAACATGTCCTTAGGGGAATGGAAGGGAACCTAGCATAGCTAGAGTAAAATACAGGGTGAGGGGGACGTCATATCCTAAGGCAGTGTAAACTCTCTTCATATCTTGTCCCCTGGGCTTGTGGGTGCTCCATCCTATAGCCCCCCAGCCAGCACAACTCCCATACCTACTAGACCCCAATGCCTAGGAGCTGGAGAGGTTGTGCAGAGCTGACCTCGCTGCTTTAGTGACCAGAACACACGGGTCTAGGAGAGGGGTTCAGTAGGCAGGGGAATCTTTGATTGTGCTTCTTCTGTGTCATCCCCCAAACCTGACAGATTCTGTTTGGATTCTGCAAAGCAAACACGTCAGAAAGTTGCTGTGAACTGGACCAACTTCAGCCTCAAGAAAACCACTCCCAGCACAGCTCAGTGAGGTATACAAACCCCCAAGTGTCGCGTGCACCCTCTCCCGATGCTCTGCCAGCTTCTGTCCCCACCAGACCATTTCATGCTCTGAGGCACAGGGAATTGGACTAGGGGCTTGGTATCCTGGCCCCTGCACCTCCACAGTGACAGCCCAGTGGGCTATGCTCTCCAGAGGCACAAACCCTGTCTATTCTGCAGCCATTTACCCCCAGGACTCTGTCCTTTCATTGCTCCTCCCTGGGCCAGGCCCTCCTGTGAGATCTTTCCCAAGACAAAAGATGCTCCCTCCCCCCATCTCCTTTGACCTTTATCCTCCTCAGAGCAGGAGTCTGAGCGCAGAGGCGGCGTCTCCCCTGCCTGTACCCACCAGAGAACATGCCAGAGCACTTGTTCCACATTGGCTTGGGGGAAGGGAGTGCTGCCTGCCATGGGGGCCATGCGCTCCTTAGGGATGGCCCCACCTTCCTTGAGAACTAGGATGACATTTCACATGTTGATAAACAGAAGTGGGGCTCTGTTTACTGGCAGGGTTTTCATTTCCATCCTCTGCTAGAGGTGATTGAGGAAGTCTGTGGGAGCAAAAGTAGGAGCCAGCTGTTCCTCCCTCCACCTTGGACCCGTGGAGACCCATGTGGCATGGGAAAGCCATTACTCACCATGTGGCCATGCTCTTCTGTTTTCTCAGCCCCTGTGGGTCCAGCTTCTTCAGGTGTCCTGAGACCCCCAACTGCCAGCTGAAGGTCTACAGTTTCTTCTTCCTCCATATCCCCACCCACCTGCCCAAGACCCTCCTTGCTTCCCGCCATCCTGGACCAACCAAAAGCTGAGCGGATGCCCTGCCGGGCTGGGGCCCCTCAGGACCTCCACAGAGCCTCCTCCTGGTGCTATGCAGCCTCCACACTCAGAGCCCGGGGGCTGGGCTGGGCTGGCCTGTGGGCCAGGGGCTGATGGTACTGCTGGCCCAACACTGCTCTTTTTGTGTTTGGTTTTTTTGTTTTTGTTTGTTTGTTGTTGTTTTTTAATTCTTTACTTTTGATACTGTGAAGATCTTTCCTGCCGAAAGATAAAGCAACTTTTGGACACAGAGTCGGTGTGTTGGTCTTTTGCTAGACTGGGTCAGGGGTGAGGTGAAGGATGTAATCAGAAGCATGGGGTGGCCTTAGTCATTAACCATGTTAGGTATGTACTGTGTTATCAATGGCTTGGCATTGTTTCCACTTAATTCTTGCATCTGTTCCAAGTGGGACTGTTAAGTGGGAATTTTATAGATGAAACTAAAGCTAAGACAAGAAAGTGAGTGTAATGAACTCAGTCTGGCTGACTAGGGTTAAAGCACAGGTCTCTGTGCCCTTTCCTCCTGTTGTGAGGCCTTGTATGGGAGTAGCCCCTTCCCCACACTGTCTGTTTCTCCCCTGTAGGATGGGTGAACGGGAGGAATGGGACTTGGTCTGTGGATAGCTGACGTGAGAAGGGGCTTGGGGAAAGCTTGAGGCCTTATGGAGGGTGCACCTGTAGCCTGGGTGTTTGAGGTTGTCAGGGAAAGTTGGGGGAGGGGGGGTAGATGGAGTTTTTATAAATTGGATCTGACTTTCCAATGGGAATAAGACATGTAGCTTAAGTACTTGACAGTTAAGAGGATAATAAACCCTTCTGTAAAGTAAAGCAAACTATCTCCCCCATTAGATCTGGTTTGTAAATTCAAATTTTAATATAATAGGTTTGCTAAAAATGCCTCACACACCTGTTGTTACCCCCAATGTTGTTTTCTTGACTAAAATCAACTCAACTGTAGCTCATGTGGGGAGTGATGGAGGCAGTGGCCACACAATCACCAAGTATCTTTAAAAAAAATTTTTTTTTATTGATTTCAGAGAGAAAGGAGAGGGAGAGAGAGATAGAAACATCGATGAGAGAGCATCATCAATCTGCTGCCTCCTGCATGCCCCCTACTGGAGATCGAGCCTGCAACCCAGGCATGTGCCCTTGACCAGACTCGAACCTGGCACCCTTCAGTCCACAGGCTGATGACGCTCTATCCACTGAGCCAAATCAGCTAGGGCGACTACGTACCTAGTGTTGGGAGCAGGATCAGAAACTGCTCCCTCTTCCCACCCCACCCCTCCACCTGGTTGAGCCCCACCATTGGCTAGCAGTCAGTGCCAGCTTCCTCTTCTAAAGAAGTGAAACAGCATTGCCCACAGGCTCACAATTCCAGTCCCCAGGGAAGTATGGACAGTCCTGTGAAACCTTTCTCTGTGTATGTATTACCTGTGTTCCTCTTACTCTCTAACTGTTGCACCAGCCTCCTGCCCTCAAGTTGAATTGGCACAGCTATCTAAAATTCTGCCTCACCTGGCAGGTGTGGCTCTGTGGATTGAGCATTGTCCCATGCACCAAAAGTTCAATTCCCGTCAGGGCACATGCCCGGGTTGCAGGCTGGATCCCCAGTATGGGATGTGCAGGAGGCAGCCAATCAATGATTTTCTCATCATTGATTTTTCTAACTCCCTCTCCCTTCCTCTCTGAAATCAATAAAAATATATTTTAAAATAAAGACTTTTTTAAAATAATAAAATTCTGCCTTGTTTGAAAATTGCAGGTCTGATTGAAGCAGCACTTTTCCTACAGATAAAAGACTTCTGTAAGTGGCATTTTGGACCCCCCTGTGCCTGGCTTCTGCCTCCAGCACACACCCAGCCATCCCTACAACCTCAGTCTCCAGCTAGGCCTGACACCCTTAGATCTCCTGACTTTTGCTCACATACTTGCAACTCTTCGCAGATTACCCTTCCGTCATAAATTCCTACTTAATCTTCACATCCCAGTTGAGAAGACACTTTTACTATATGAGAATCAGTTTGCTCTGCCTTTGTGATGATTCCACCATGTCTTGATACTTCTTAACCTCAAGACTGGTTATATTTTCCGTTTCCTCAAATAATCCATAATCTCACAAGCCAGGTTTGTATCTTGCTCATCTTTTGTCTGCTTCAGCACTGCACAATGCCCAGCACACAAGGACAGCACTGACCCATCACTCCTCTCAGTCCCCAATGCCGAAATTACTGACAGTCACTGCTCTGCATGCTCTGAGCCCAATTTACCTCCCCAACCCTTGCTCTGGCTCCCCCTACTCCATGTGGGCCAATTGATCTCTTTATTCCCTAGGAATCTGCACTTGCACATGCAGATCACTCCTACTGGACCCTCTTTCTTCCTCTCCTCCACTCCCTGCTCTGAGATTCCACACTTCCCTGGAAGCTCAGATCCAGTCAGTGTCACCTCAAAGTCGCCTCAGGTTCCCTCTGAACGCTATTACAGCATTTACAACAATAATAGCTTACACACATATGTACAGACCCTCAATTGAAAACCACCATCATCAGTATTTTATTTACCACTCACTACTCGGAGCTTAGGTGTCTCAGAAGAGGACACCAGTCAGAGCAGCCAAGCTTGAGTCACTCGGCAAGCCGCACCCTGCCCGCTCGGCCCTGCGGGGGATGGAGGCCCGGCCCCTGGGCTCCCCAACCACTAGAGGGCGCAGTGACCGCCGGCGTGCGTGCGCCATGACGTCATGCTCTGAGCGACGGTCTTCACTCGGGCACCACCCCTGCTACCGGATTCAGTGTGAGCCTTTAGCTCATGCTTCAAATCCTCCAGTATCCCACAATGCTTTGCCCGATGCTTTTGCCCTCAGCCCTGCCAGCTGCATTGCCACAGGGAGAACGTAGACGCCGCCCCACAAGACGGCGGCTGAGGAGAAAGTTTGTCCCTCGGCGCGATCCGTCACTCAGAGGTCGTTGCTAGGCGCCGACGTCCGCTTCTTCACATCTGGTTGGATCTCAGAGGTAAGGCGGGGTTTTCTGCTGTGGGACGCATGCGTGCAGAAAAGGATGGAGGATTCGGAACCGGAACGGAAGGTGGGAGAGAGGCTGGGGTCCCCTGGGTGGCGAGCCGCCGTGAAGATGGGGAGGAAGGGGTTCCGGGCTTGATTGCTGGGTCTCTGCAGCGGGCTCGTACCGACGAGGCGACTGCCGCAGGAAGCCGTTCCGAGGCGGAGGATGAGGACGACGAGGACTATGTGCCCTACGTGCCATTGCGACAGCGCCGACAGCTGCTGGTGAGGGCCGGGGTCTAAGGAGGAATGAGAGTAGGGGTGGGTGTTTCTCAGTGGTCTGTGGAGTGAGGGGATCTACACGGGAGCGTGGCCTCAGGCACAACCCGAGGGACTGGCGATCTAATCTGAGGGGTAGAGCAGCTCTGCACCTCGGGGCACGATCTTCTCCCAAAGCCAGGATCCTGCCGCAGCTCCTGGGCGCGATGCCCAGATCTGTGTCGGGCTTGGCTCTGAGGGGCGCTGCTGGACCCTCAGCTCCAGAAGCTGCTACAGCGAAGACGCAAGGGAGCTGCGGAGGAGGAGCAGCAGGACAGTGGCAGTGACCACCGGGGAGATGAGGACGACATCCCTCTGGGCCCTCAGTCCAATGTCAGCCTCCTGGACCAGCACCAGCACCTCAAAGAGAAGGCTGAAGGTGGGCTCAGCAGTGGCGGGAGGCTCAGCGTGGTGCACTGCTTTGGAGTCTCTCTGACATTTGTCTGCTTTTCTCCTCAGCCCGCAAGGAGTCTGCCAAGGAAAAGCAGCTGAAGGAAGAGGAGAAGATCCTGGAGAGTGTGGCTGAGGGCCGAGGTATGGTTGTAGCCTGGGCAGGGAGGAAGTGGCCTGGCCTCTGGGAAGGAGAAGCCAGCCCTGAGCCACATCTCTCTTCTCAGCCTTGATGTCAGTGAAGGAGATGGCCAAGGGAATCACATATGATGATCCAATCAAAACCAGGTATACTTTATAGTCTCTGGAAGAGCAGTTACCCTTACCTGGAATAGTTTGTGGCTGAGACTGGCAGGCACATGCCAAAGGCAGCCATGTCCAGGGCCTCTCTTGATCCCTACCACCACTCACAGTTGGACACCTCCCCGTTATATCCTGAGTATGTCTGAAGAGCGGCATGAGCGTGTACGGAAAAAATACCACATCCTGGTGGAAGGAGATGGTATCCCACCACCCATCAAGAGCTTCAAGGAAATGAAATTTCCTGCAGGTACCTGGGGAGTGGGAGTGGCATCACACTTGGTAGTTAAATATCTGTAAGGTTGTGTCCTAGTTCCCACTGAGCTCAGCAGCATAGCCAGCGGGGATGGGGGGATTTGAGGAGGGGTTTCTTTAGGCTCCTTTTTCAGTTGTGCCAGCTGAAGATATTCACTATTCTGTGCCACTAGGAAGCTTAATTGGACAAGTGAGGCTGGCCTTAGACAGATCTGGGGGTGAATTCTGTCTCCATTTAGCCTAGGAGCTTTGAACAGGTCTCTCTGTCAGTCTTTTCTTTCCCTCTCCTGTTTCTATGTTTCGTCATTTGTAACTTGAGGGGAATGGTGGCAGTTTTACGGCTTTGGGGCCTGATAAAGCACCTGTGAGACGAAAGAGTGATGTCAGGGTTGTTTTCCATAGCCATCCTGAGAGGCCTGAAGAAGAAAGGCATCCACCACCCAACGCCTATTCAGATCCAGGGTATCCCCACCATGTGAGTGTGGACCTGGGGGCCCTGAGGAGGGCAGTGATGGGCAGTTCCTGTATTCTGCTGAACTTGACCCGCAGACCTGTCCTCTGCCAACAGTCTATCCGGCCGTGACATGATAGGCATCGCCTTCACGGGTTCAGGCAAGACGCTGGTGTTCACTTTGCCTGTCATCATGTTCTGCCTGGAACAAGAAAAGAGATTACCTTTCTCCAAGCGTGAAGGGCCCTATGGACTCATTATCTGTCCCTCGGTAAAATAGGCTGGCCTGGAGGGCAGGGCACCAGTGAGACTGTCTTCTGGTACCAGCCCCTGCCCCTGTATCTGCAGCGAGAGCTGGCCCGGCAGACCCACGGCATCCTGGAGTATTATTGCCGCTTGCTGCAGGAGGACAGCTCGCCACTCCTGCGCTGCGCACTTTGCATCGGGGGCATGTCTGTCAAAGAGCAGATGGAGACCATCCGACAGTGAGCATAAGCACCCCTCACCCTAGGCCCTCCCCAAAGCGTCTAGAAC